AGGTTAGAAGGACGCCGGAGTGCTCTCCGGCGTATCCCCTCCGACGATCAAGTCAGTTCTTTGAAAGAGGGGAAGAAGAAAGCATTGTGTAGTTCTTTTTTTGGGAATTCTTGCATACCTTTTTAATGTTTTTTTTAGAATTATTTATACCTTCAAAAGCTCATGATTGTTGACAGTCCACTCAGCAGATATTTGTCAGAGATGGGGCAGTGTGCCCCTCACTTTTATGGGGAATGGGCTTTGCTTTAACTGGCCGGGATGCCGAGCATTTAAAGCTCACTCCTCGGTCTGCCGGGCATTCAATTCCTCCTTCTCAGCGAGGATGTATTAAATGCCTAGGTATGAGGGTCTTTAATGCACTTTACTCCTTGGCCCCCATGCCTTAATTGCTGTCTCATCAGGAGGAGGATTCATTAAATACTTACTTGCTTCAGTCATGTGTTAGCAGGGGTATCCAGGTTTTTTTGCTACTGATTTGATATCAAATTCCATGTGTCTACTCCTCCTTGGTTACGTGCCCTGTATTTCTTGTGCCTCATGACACCATTGAGTAGAACGCTGTTATAATAGCTAGCCTAGCCTAGACTGACCTATGCTAGTCACCTGTTAATCACCAGTCCTTGTAGGAGTGAAAAAATCCACATACCAGTAGATACACCTCGGCGCTGAGGGAGCATACACACATCGGGACCGATCTCATCAATCTGAGCTGAGGGATATGTGTCATCCATGCTGCCTCGGAGTCCCTCAACCCCGAGAATTATTTCCTCGGTGGGAGGGAGTTAAGGATGCCGATGACATGTGTCGCTATTTTGTTTCGTTCTGAAAATGTCTCATTAGAGTCTTAGTCTAATAATGGTGACTTTGGGCTTTATAGGGGCATTTTTAAAAGATATTATGTCCTTTTAATGTTGTGACCACAACATGTGGGGTTAAACGCTGCAGTTTCTTGGCAAACGATCATTGAATTTCAATTTCCCATTTTAATAATTATAACCGCTGCATCCATTTGACCTTTTTGTGTAGGAATTATAATATTGCTTCACTTTTTATCTACCCTTTTGACTGAATCCGCGTAACATCCGCATCTAATTCTCTTTCAATTTATTTTTCTTCGAATTTTTTCAAAGATAAATTGCCTACCATTAAATTAAAGTGGGGTCCACTATATGAAAGTGGATCCCTAACCATTCAACAGTGAGTGATTTGTCAGTGATGAAAATTAAGAGAAGGTGGCTTAGAGGAAATTCAGATCGATGTGTGTTTTCAAGGGTAAGGCACCATAACTCAAGCATAGTCATGTGCCTTTTGTAATAAACCTTAAAGATCCTTTGGGTGCATCTTAAACTATATTGTGTATCGATAAATTTTTCCGAGATATTTTTATTACCTAAAAAAATGACCCAATCTCTATGTATGACAGGAAAAGATGTATGTTGTTGGGTCAGTATGCATACATGTTAGGAAAGCCCATCTCCACATGCATGCTTGTGCGTTGGTAAACAAGCATAAGTTAACTAAACAGTTGACAACCATTAGTTGAGAGATACCTGATGTTAGAGTCAGCTACCTGCCAAATAATACTTTCTTCTCCATCTCTTGAACCTCAGTCCATACCTTTGAATCATAGTCAAGAACATTCCCTAAGCAGCCATTGCTCCTCTCTCACTCTCTCTCTCTCTCTCTCTAAAGCAACTTTTTTTTTTTTTCTATTATATATATTCTAATGATGGTATAACATTTTCATTGCCATTCCTTCTGTCATTGCAGCAAGTTTCCTATTTCCTGGACGTTTTATTCTCTCTCTCTCTCTCT